CACATTGAGAGGAAGTGCAGTGCGAAAGAAACATAACTCTATCTTGACTAATTACAGAGTTATTGCCCTTTGTTACTTTTCCTTGTCCATGGCATAACTTGAAAACTATTGGTTGGAATTCAAAACAACTTCATACAATTGTCAAACACAATAAGGGGAAGTGCAGTGCACAAGAACCATAACTCTATCTAAAGTAATTACAGAGTTATTGCCCTTTGTTGCTTTTCCATTGCCTTCTTTTTTTTGTCCGGACCATAACTTGAAGACTAATGGTTGGAATTCAATATAACTACATACAATGGTCAAGCACATTGAGAGGAAGTGCAGTGCATAAGAACCATAACTCTATCTAAAGTAATTACAGAGTTATTGCCCTTTATTACTTTTCCATTGCTTTCTTTTGTCCGGACCATAACTTGAAGACTAATTGTTGGAATTCATTATAACTTCATACAATGGTCCAGCACATTGAGAGGAAGTGCAGTGCACAAGAACCATAACTCCATTTTGACTTATTACAGAGTTACTGCCCTTTGTTTCTTTTCCTTGTCCAGAGCATGACTTTAAAACTACTGGTTGGAATTCAAAACAACTTCATACAATGGTCAAGCACAATAAGGGGAAGTGCAGTGCACAAGAACCATAACTCCATCTTGACTAATTACAGAGTTATTGCCCTTTGTTACTTTTCCATTGCTTTCTTTTGTCCGGACCATAACTGGAAAACTTATTGTTGGAATTCATTATAACTTCATACAATGGTCAAGCACATTGAGAGGAAGTGCAGTGCATAAGAACCATAACTCCATCTTGACTAATTACAGAGTTACTGCCCTTTGTTACTTTTCCTTGTCCAGAGCATGACTTGAAAACTACAGTTTGGAATTCAAAACAACTTCATTCAATGGTCAAGCACAATAAGGGGAAGTGCAGTGCACAAGAACCATAACTTCATCTTGACTAATTACAGAGTTATTGCCCTTTGTTACTTTTCCTCGTCTAGAGCATAACTTGAAAACTACTGTTTGGAATTCAGTACAACTTCATACAGTTGTCAAGGACATTAAAAGGAAGTGCAGTGCACAAGAGCCATAACTCCATTTTGACAAAATACAGAGTTACTGCCCTTTGATACTTTTCCTTGTCCGGAGCATAACTTAAAACGTACTGGTTGGAATCCAAAACAACTTCATACAATGGTCAAGCACAATAAGAGGAAGTGCAGTGCACAAGAACTATAACTCTATCTTCAGTATTTATAGAGTTATTGCCCTTTGTTCTTTTTCTTTGTCTTTCTGGACTTATTACAGAGTAATTCAATTAAACTTCATCAATGGCCAACCACATTGAAAGGAAATGCAACATACATGAACCACAATTATCTTTAATTGCCCACAACCATAACTCTATGTTTCAATTCTTTTTCAAGGTATTCTGTTACTAGTAACATCCTCATTTCCGAAGCAGACTTGTGGGGGTATTAATCACATTTAGTGATAGTTCTAGTTATTTTTAGACTCATTTACGGGACACTTTTCATTTGGAGGTGGGGCATTGATCAGCAAATGTATTTTTTTTTAACTTACATAGTGGCATACAACCTATATAACCGGTACTTACTACTTGCAAATTAATGACACCATAAACAATACAAAATGTCAATAATTTTAACAGTTTTTCTATCTTTTCTTAAGTATTTAGGCATTGTAAATTCAATCAGTCAGAGAATAGAATAAAGCCATGTTAATTAAGGACAATTAGCCATGCCGTTTACCTGAATCCTGTAGATTTCATCACCTCATATTTAGCGGTAATTTTCACGGTGTTTGACCACTGCCTGCAGGCGGATTAAATTTATACTGGCCAGTTGTTAATTACAGTGTATGACACCTCCACTCAGGAAGCCACAGAGGGTAAAAAATTAATCTTTTAATTGATTAAAATTATTGCCAATAATTGTTTATTGGAAGGGGCACATAGATATAAGTGATGAAGTTTAATTGTTCTTTTATAACGTTCTAGAATAGTTTAGAAGAACTTGACAATTAGATTTTTGAAAAATTTAAATTTCTGGCTACAAAGTAGATTATTTTAAATTATTTTTTTACAGGGACATAAATCATCTCTGGGACAGATACCTCATTTCCGGGACTTTCCCGGACATCCTGGACATTATGACATGTATGGTCAAACTCTTTTTGGACTTATTACAGAGTAATGTAATGAAACTTCATCAATGGCCAATTGACATTGAAAGGAATTGCAACATACAAGAACCACAACTATCTTTAATTGCCCACAACCATAACTCAATTTCAGTTCTTTTGCAAGCTATTTTGTTACTAGTAACTTCCTCATTTCTGAAGCAGTCTTGTGGGGGTATTAATCACATTAAGTGATAGTTCTAGTTTTGCCTAAAGCATGATATAACCAAATATTTAAGAAACTTGTCAATATAAATTATGAAGTGTAAAATTACCCATAATTACCAAGACCTTGACCTAAAAATTCAAACAAAATAAGAGAATCTACAAAGGTATCTTTATGAATGTGGAATATAATGGGTCAATAACAGAAATAGACTTTTATGATGAGCAAATATGCTTATGATATGCATGCACAATATCAAGGTTGTGGTTGGTAAAGGTCAAGAAGTACACATTTATGTCCCTTGTGGAAGGGGATTTAGCTGTTCTTCAGACTGCCTTGTTTAGATGTTAACTAGCTCAAAAGTAAGTATGGTCTATCTGGTGTCAATACTAGGTACACAGCCAAAATATGAAAAAGCCTTGTTTACACTCAAGAGGTAATATTTTCATTCCAGATATAATGGAAATTGGTCAGAAAGGTTGCTTCTATGACTTCTAGGACAAGTTTTATGAACGTTATGATATGAGTATACGATTATGTCATTATATCTGCTTTTCATTCATAATTAACAATATTAATTGTTCGTTATCATTAAGAGCCTCAATAATCAGGTGAGCAATATAAGAACCATCACCAACCTCTTGTTAGCTCACCTGACCACGAAGTGTTCAAGGTGAGGTATAGTGATGGGGCTATGTCCGGTGTGCGTCGTCATTCGTCGTCAACAATTGGGTTGTTAACAGTCTAGCAGTCACAGTTTTGATTGAATCGTCATCAAACTTTGTCAGAATGTTTGTCTCAATGCAATATAGATCAAGTTCGGAGATGGGTTATCTTGGGTCAAAAACTAGGTCACAGGAGCTAAAAAAAAGGAAAAAATCTTGTTAACACTCTAATGGCTGCAGTTTTTATCCAAATTCTGTAAATTCATCAGGAAGATTGTTTTGATGATTTCTGGGTCAGGTTTGAAGGTCATAAACTAGGTGTTTTTAACAGGAGCTTAAAAATTTAGCTTGTTAACACTCTAGTGGCTGAAGTTTTTTTCCAAATTTCCTGGAAATTGGTCAGAAAGGTTGTTTTGATGATTTCTAGGTGAAGTTCAAATATAGGTAATCTCCGGTCAAAAATTAGGTCACAGGAGCTAAAAATAGAAAAAAACTTGTTAACACTTTAGTGGCTGCAGTTTTGATCCAAATATTCTTGAAATTTGTCAGGTAGGTTGTTTCGATGATTTCTAGGTGAAGTTCGAAGATGGGTCATCTCCGGTCAAAAACAAGGTCACAGGAGTTAAAAAAGAAAAAGCTTGTTAACACTAGTGGCTGCAGTTTTGATCCAAATATCCTGGAAATTTGTCTGATAAGTTGTTTTGAAGTTAGAATATAGGTCATCTCCGGTCAAAAACAAGGTCACTGGAGCTAAAAATAGAAAAATCTTGTTAACACTCTAGTGACTGCAATTTTTATCCAAATATTCTGCCAATTTGTCAGGAAGATTGTTTCGATGATTTCTAGGTCAAGTTCGAAGATGGGTCTTCTCTGGTCATAAACTAGGTCACAGGAGCTAAAAATAGAAAAAGCTTTTTAAAACTCTAGTTGCTGCAGTTTTGATCCAAATATTCTGGAAATTTGTCAGGTAGGTCGTTTTGAAGTTAAAATAGAGGTCCTCTCCGGTCAAAAACAAGGTCACTGGAGCTAAAAATAGAAAAATCTTGTTAACACTAGTGGCTGCAGTTTTGATTGAAATCTTCTTGAAATTTGTCAGGAATGTTGTTTTGATGATTTCTTGGTCAAGTAGGAATATGTGTTAACTCCGGTCAAAAACTAGGTAACAGGAGCTAAAAATAGAAAAATCTTGTTAACACTAGTGGCTGCAGTTTTTATCCAAATATTCTAGAAATTTGTCAGGAAGATTGTTTTGATTATTTCTGGGTCAAGTTCGAAGATGGGTCTTCTCTAGTCATAAACTAGGTCACAGGGGCTAAAAATAGAAAAAGCTTGTTAACACTCTAGTGGCTGAAGTTTTGATCCAAATTTCCTGGAAATTGGTGAGAAAGGTTGTTTTGATGTTTTTAGGTGAAGTTAGAATATAGGTCATGTCCGGTCAAAAACTTGGTCACAGGAGCTAAAAATAGAAAAAGTTTGTTAACACTAGTGGCTGCAGTTTTGATCCAAGTATTCTGGAAATTTGTCAAGAAGGTTGTTTTGATGATTTCTAGGTCAAGTTTGAAGATGGGTCATCTCCAGCCTAAAACTAGGTCACAGGAGCTGAAAATAGAAAAAGCTTGTTAACCCTCTGGTGCTGCAGTTTTGATCCAAATTTCCTGGAAATCGGTCAGGAAGGTTGTTTTGATGACTTTAAGGTCAAGTTTGAATACGGGTCATCTCCGGTCAAAAACTAGGTCATATTGCCCAAATATGGAAAAAACTTTTTAACACACTAGAGGTCACATTTTTTACTCAATTGTCATCAAACTTGGCCAGGATGCTTGTCTGAGACATTGCTTGGATGCGGTTGATGGGTCAGGGGGGAGTGATCTAGGGCCATCATGGCGCTCTTGTTTCACTTTAATATCAAATCATTCAACAGGCGATATTAATTCAACAAATTTGGTTGTTGCCTATTATTTTCAGGTATGGGGTGATGCAGCAATCCAGATATTTTTCTCTCTTTCACCATGTTGGGGTGGTCTCATCACTCTAGCTAGCTACAACAAATTCCACAACAACTGCTTTTTGTAAGTACTTATACTTATCACTTTGACTTATTTGAAAAATAAAATTTGTTTACATAAGAAATTCATTAGAACAAGCTAGAACTTTTTATTGAAAACTTTCAACGTTTTAGCTTTTGTGATCGCAATTTGTCTAGCGTCCATTGTCCATCAGCGTGTGCTTTCTTCATCAACTTTTTATAGAAACGACTTCTTTTCAGAAACCACTGGGCCAAATTTGATGAAATTTTCCTGGGATGTTCCTAGCATGAAGCTCTACTTAAATTGTTAAAATGAACATCTGGGACAGAAGGCTAAAAAAGAATTTTTGAAATGAAATCTTGAAAAAATTTCTCTGAAAGTGCAAGGCTTAGATATTTGTGTGTAGCATTATCTCATGAAACTCTACAAAGCCCTGGTGTCAAAATTTGCCCCCTCAGAGGGTCATTGATTTTCCTTATTAGCTCACCTTGCACATAGTGCAGGTGAGCTATTAGGATGGCCCATCATTTGCGTCCTGTGTCCGTCCACATTTTATTCAAACGACATCATCTATGATACCACAAGGGCAATGTTAATGAAACTTGGCAGGAATACTCTTTGTATGAAGCTCTATCCAGATTGTTCAAAGAATTCCATTCCATGCTAAACTTTAGTTGCTATGGCAACTAAATGAAAACACTACTTCAAAATGGTAAGGGCTAGAGCTTAGATATTTCTCACAAGGCATTGGCTTGTTGGTTTCTACAATGTATATTCAAATTATGGTCTAGAGTTGAAAATTGGTCTCTCTTTGGGGGGTTAAAGGGGTTTTTTATTGCAAGGTTATATAGACATTCTTTGCAGGGATAAATTGAGATAGTGTATCTTGTATTTTTTGTCTCAACAGACATTGTTATGAAGATTTTTCTGTTAAAGCATTAGAAAGATGAAAAGGTTGTTGAATGTGAATGTGATTCAAAACAGAGTCAATCAGAATAACATAAATTTGAGAGCTACATTGAAGTTGATTTCCCTATTCAATAATGGATTCTTCCATTAATTAAGGAGACAGCTGTGTAATTTCCAAAATACAATGTAAAATATTTTGGTTCTTGACAATGACTTGCACATTTTATTGAGTAAAATATTTCACAAAGAAACGAAAGTGAACAAAAAAGGTATTTTTTCACAAAAATTAGCTGATTACGATAAAAGTTTAATTTACAGTACAGATATTATTTTTACATCCTTCCTGATTGCGGGAAAAATCTTATATTTCAACATACCTTTTCAAGATGAATTTTTTCAATGAATGAAACTTTTATTGAAATTTATGAAAGATTTCGATGAGACAAAATTTTGTACATCCATTCTACAGTAAGGACAGGGGCAGTTATGTTTTGGGATACGAACGCTGGACCAGACCAGGTATTAGCTTTGCATACGCAAATGAGTACCAAAATATTTTGGATTTGGTATGCAAATTGGGTGGTTTGAGATTACAATATAATATAATAATATTTCATTCTTAGAACAAACATACAATTCAAATCAATAAATAATGCATATCAATTAGTCTATTCAACAACTTTGCCTCAGAAAACATCTGTATCAATCTGACCTCGAGTTGATATTATTAATAGAACTTAACCGAAAGTATGACAAAATGGCCGCCATGTACAAGACAATTGAGAAATTTTGTAACATAAACTCGTATTTCATAACAAAGAAGTGAAGATGAATACAATTATCGGTGTGCTTCATTAAAATAGGTATTTTGTTAACTATTTGTGAAGTATTAAGGCATGACATTCAGTATTTATGTAAATATCACCTCCCGTGTTATGATTTCTAAAATTATACATGTACACATGTGATAATGTTTTTTCCCTAGATTTTCGTTTTATTTGTTTCTTAACTACAATGTATTTGTAATTTTGTTGTTGTTTTATCATACCTTTTGTTTGTAAATGTTTATATTATGTACATTGTATATTTGATAGAGGCTCATAGGGAAGACTGGGCATGCCCAACTATGTTGCCTCTTTAAATAAAGTCTTTATTATTATTATTAGCTCGACTATTCGAAGAATATGAGAGCTATTGTAGTCGCCCCGGCGTCGGCGTCAGCGTCCGCGTCGGCGTCTGCGTTGGTTAAAGTTTTTTGTAAAGTCAAATATCTCAATTATTACTTGAGATATTCAATTGAAACTTACAATACTTATTTATAGTAACAAGGTACATCAGATTGCCAAGTTTGATAACTCTGCCTACAATATTGACAGAATTATGCCCCTTTTTAACTTAGAAATTTTGGTTAAAGTTTTTTGTAAAGTCAAATATCTCAATTATTGCTTGAGATATTCAATTGAAACTTACAATACTTATTTATAGTAACAAGGTACATCAGATAGACAAGTTGGATAACTCTGCCTACAATATTGACAGAATTATGCCCCTTTTTAACTTAGAAATTTTGGTTAAAGTTTTTTGTAAAGTCAAATATCTCAATTATTGCTTGAGATATTCAATTTAAACTTACAATACTTATTTATAGTAACAAGGTACATCAGATTGAGAAGTGGGATAACTCTGCCTACAATATTGACAGAATTATGCCCCTTTTTAACTTAGAAATTTTGGTTTAAGTTTTTTGTAAAGTCAAATATCTCAATTATTGCTTGAGTCTTAGATATTCAATTGAAACTTACAATACTTATTTATAGTAACAAGGTACATCAGATTGACAAGTGGGATAACTCTGCCTACAATATTGACAGAATTATGCCCCTTTGGAACTTAGAAAGTTTTTTTGTTAAAGTTTTTTTGTAAAGTCAAATATCTCAATTATTGCTTGAGATATTCAATTGAAATTTAAAACACATTTTTGTAGTAACAATGTACATCAGTGTGCATAATTGCATAACTCTGCCTGCAATATTTGCAGAATTATTTGCCCCTTTGAAACTTAGTAATTTTGGTTAAAGGTAAAAGGTATTCCAAGATATTTACTTGAAACTTTACACATGCACTTAGGGTCATAATTGGAGGGTCATAATTGTATGTCACTGACCAAGTTCCATAACTCTATCTTGCATTAAGGCTGATTCATATCCCCTTTTCTACTTAGTCTCTTGGTTAATGTTTACATGCAAGTTTTACATATCTCAATAACTATTAAAGATATTTATTTAAAACTTCACATATGCATTTAGGGTCATAATTGTAGGTCACTGACAAAGATCCATAATTCTATCTTGCATTTAGGCTGATTTTTCTCCACTTTTTCAACTTAGAAATTCATGGTAAAGTTTTGTTTGTAAGCTGTTATCTCAATAACTACTGAAGAGTTTGTGCCTTTTTTGGGACAATTTTATGCATTCATAATAATAAAGCAGTGATTTCTTGATAAAACATCTTAATAACAAGCCTTTGTACCTTGTCTGTCAAATTTATGTATTCATAGGTAATTAGTATTATTATATTCAATAAAACACCCTTGTGACATTACCTTCCGAATAGTCAAGCCAATACTGTATAATTAGACTCTCTCTAAGGCCTATAACATGAATTTATAAAAATTAGCCCTTTTGTGAACTTAAAAAATTTAACATTATCAAGGCTCTTTTACTATCAAGCACTTAGAATAGTCGAGCGTGCTGTCCTTCCGACAGCTCTTGTTATTATTATTATTATATTGACCTCAATAAATGTAAGTGAAAATGGAACAATAATTATGGTAATTATCCATGGTGCTAGTAATACTTAATCATCTTTATCATTTTGTTAACTAAGCAAGAGGCTTACGTAATTTAAAAATTACCTAACCTCACAATATTATCAATTTAAACTTGAAAATCTACTCAAAATGACTTCCCAAACAGTAATTTTTGAAACATGAATATGATTCATGTAGAAAAATAACACAAGAAAAAACTGATTTGACTCAGAAAAATTTTGGTCAAACAGTCTGCAACGTGAAATTTTGACCTTACTGAGATTCCTGCTGTTTGTTTGTTGTTTTTTATGCCCCCGGGCATATAGCAATTGAACCGTCCCTCTGTCCGTCTGTCCGTACGAGGTTAACCTAAAACGGCAAGTTGGATTTTTCTTAAGTTCTACCTGTACCAATGGCTTCTTAGTTTACACACTTAATAATCAATACAAAGTACATGATCTGGGCAAGTTACACAACTCTGGCTTTCATATTTACCAAGTTATTGCCCTTTTCAGCATTTAGAAAATGAATAATCGTTAACCTAAAACAGCAAGTTGGAAATATCTTAAGTTCTATCTATACTAATGGCTTTATAATTTCCACACTTACTTATCAATACAAAGTACATGATATTGCCAAGTTATATAACTGTGTCATCCATATTTCCCTGTTATTTCCCTTTTTATCACTTTGAAAATAGGGCCTTGTCTGGTTAACCTATTTCGGCAGGTTGGATTTATCTTAAATTTCTCCTAATTGCTTAATTTCTTTAATGATATCTTTCATATTTAGTAGGTGGATACCTTTGATGGTCCTCTAATTTTTTTGTGGAGTAAGTAACTCTAGGGTCAAGGTCAAGGTCACTGGTTTAAAAAATAAATATAAACATTTTTTGCTCATACAGCCTTTATTTTTTAGCTCACCTGTCACAAAGTGACAGAGTGAGCTTTTGTGATCGCTTTTCGTCCGCCGTCCGGCCGTCCGGCGTCCGTTAACTTTTACTTTAAATGACATCTCCTCATAAACCGCTGAGCCAATTTCATCCAAACTTCACATGAATGTTCCTTTGGTGGTCACCTTTAAAAATTGTTCAAAGAATTTAATTCCATGCAGAACTCTGGCAACCAATAGAAAAAACTTAAAAAAACCCCAAATAGGTAGAGCTTAGATATTTGGCATGAAACATCTTCTAGTGAGTGTCTATCAAGTTTGTTCAAATAAAAGCCCTGGAGTCAAAATTGGCCCCGCCCCGGTGGTCATTGATTTACCGTATATGCATATAGTAAAAACTTAAAAAATCTTCTTTGAAAAACCAAAATAGCTAGAGTTTAGATACTAAGCAT